CAACTTTTTTGAAAGCAGGAAACTTTATATCAGAATATAACTTTTTCAAAGGTGTGGATTTACTTTCTTTATGGAAAATATCCAAAAACCGGATGCTATTTTTATTAGTAAATAATATAATTTAAGCAAAGTATAAATTGAAAATAAAGAGTTTGTTTGCGTTGGATACTTATTTTTAGCATAAAAACTGAAACCTCAGGAGCGTTTGCAACAAAACAATCAGCCAAGGAAAAGTGCATGTATGTAACTATCTATACACTCGTGGCCACGCAAACCTTACCACTCAAAATTTTCAAGTATTGTGCATATTTGACTACATTTCCTAGCGGTACTTTTTGCGATATAGGAATTTTTTATTTAGAAATAAGTTACACATGTTATTAATCAAGAATATTAACAATCAAAAACAAAACACATTAAGCTATAGATAAATCAATTGAAAGATAGGAGATTTACAAAATGAGCTCGAAATGTAAGAGATGCGAGGAAAGAATTATATTTTTTATTTTGCTAATTTCATTTCATTTGCACTATATTTGCAATTAATATATATTTTTTTTAGTGAAACACGGAGTTTAGCAGGTGTATCACTTTAAAAACAAAAAAATTTGCACCTTTTGTATACGGAAAAGCTAATTTGTGTTTTACTTATGAAACGTAATAAATTTAAAACTATAATTACAATTAGATAATATACTTTAGTTTGCTTATGCTTACCAAAAAAAAAACAAAAAATTGAAGAAAATCCCGAACGAAGGAAAAAGTCCGAAAAAAATTTAAGAGAGTATAGTGGTAAGGTTTGTGTGGCCACGAAACCACCAGGTATGTATATATTGGCAAAAACTTATATTTAGGAAAAAAATAGTAATACCAAAAATATACATATACTCCTAATATCAATATAAATTACCACGTTGAGGTTATAAAAAGTCCAAACTGATTCACTGAGTTTTTAACTATTTTTGTGCACCTTCATACATATTTACAACAATGCAAATGCTACAGCACAAAGTCCAACAACAAACAGGTCAACATTTGTTGCAACTGATAAAGCTTTCAACTAGGTGTATTATTAGATATTGCGGTTTGGCTGTATTTAGCACAAACCGCTGTCATTCTTTGTGAGCATGCTGTGTCACTTATGTACATATATACTATGTATGTAGGATGTAGGGTATTTGAAGTGAAATGTAATTTTGAACACGCTACGTTCGTTCTACATACATATATTTCACTCCACCATACTATACTTTATATTAACTACATACAAACAAATGTTGCTCTAAATTTAAGAGTATTTTAAGAGTACAGTATTTCCTAGAGGGATAACTGTCAAGCTAGCTGTCAAACCAGCTATCAAGTTTATTGTGATATTTATATTTGACATTTATGCTCAATATATTTTGCAAAATTGCTATGACTTTATATTTCTGCTGACTTAATTTGTAAAATTTTTACTCCACAATCATATTATATCCATATGGCCTGCTCAATGAGCAGCCAGCGAAAAATTTTAGCAAAAAGTTGAAACCTCACGTTAGTGTATTTTAAAGCCGACGATAATTATATAAAGTTATTTTTTCCATTTCCTGCATGGAAATGGTGACAAACACACACATTTACATATATATACATATATATGAATGTAACAGTATAAAATGTGAGGAAATGCAGCAATAATATCAACAGTGGTAATATGAGCCCAGGAGAAAAATAAAAAACGTCCAACCCGTTGCAGCAACTCATGTAAACATTCCTTGATTTTGAAATGTAAATATATAAATGCACATCTGCTGCCTACATTACATATATCTATATATATACATACATATTTATATCACATGTATTCAAGGAAATTGTATTTTTTCGCAGCCACTGGGGAAGGCCAAGGACATGGCCTAGTATCTGTAACTATCTGCGAATGCACAAATGTACATATATATGTGCAACCATTGAGGCAACTGCTTCGCTTTATTTTCTAAATCGTACACAACTACGTATGAGCAACTTATTATAGAGCATTTGCAATAAAATCAACTAATGACATGTCATAAGTTTGAGTATTAATTTTTTATTCTAATAATGTATGCTGAGTTTTTTACCCTGTGGGCAATATGTTTTTACTATCATGAATATAAAATATTTTTATGAAAAAAATTTTTGTAAAGTTTAAATTGTTTTATAATGAATGTACCAGTCGGAATAAAAATTTAAGTTCAACTTTAAAATGTTTAGAAAATAATTATTGCTTGCTGTTAAAAGAGGTGAAGAAACGAATTAACACTTAGTAAAATGCGTAAGCTTCCTTCTTTTCAAAAGGTTAACTTAGAATTTGTTTACTCTCCGATTTTATTTCAGAAAACTGTTTTATTGCATTTTACAAAGAACCAGACATTTTCTGTAATATTTAAATTGAGAGATTATACCCAGATGTGCTTTCTTTTGAACGCTGTTAAAGAACTCCGTTTTCTTGTGCAGATTTTCCTCTGCGTGGGAAAGTCTTTAAATTTTGCTTGTATTTGATATTCACTTATTTGATATTTACTTATTTTTAACGTCAGGCAGTGCATTCACTGATTAGTTGATTGATAAATACAATTTCTTTGCAGCAGATTGAGGCTTCAGAGAATTATTACTCCTAAATTTCCATAGAAAGTTCGGTCTTCAGTCGCATTTTTTTGCGCCTACCACTAGAACTCGTTAATTAGCTTACGTCATTATGATTTTTAAGCTTATTTTTACTATAATGGACAGCTACAATTGAAAATATTGAAACGCAGAAATATGGAAGAATAGAAAGCGTGCTAATACTTTTAGAAGCCCCCCTTATATGATTTAAAAATTAGTCACCTAGGACCCTGCTCATGCATATTTCTCTTATAACCATACTTATAGTGCAAAATAAAATTCAAATGGTAAAATATTAAACTACATAAGCAAGTTATGTTTCTGTTAGTTGTTCAACACTGCGTATGAGCAACTTAAAGCACTTGGTGTTACGAATGTTAGAAAATATTTTATATAGGTAATTTTTATGTTACCAAACAAGTTTATTCACAAAAATATTCAGTCTGGATTACTCTCACATTATTACAATGAAGGGCTGCTAGGTGAATTTTAGTATAGTCGGGCACCTTGGATCGTTTCTATAAGAAACATGGCATATGTCTGTTAACATATTTGTCATTGTTAATTAATCATTAGATAATCATCGGTACAATACCTAAAAGGATGGATATTATTTTATATTTTTCCTAGATAAAAATAAACGTTGAAGCGGGCATAAAAATATGTCTGGGAAGTAAAAGCGGCTGCCACTTGCGAAGGCTTCCTCAGAGAAAGCTCTCAGCAATGGTAAACGGCGTGAACTGAAGTTGCAAATGGTGCTGTGGAAATAAAGCTTTCGGGGAACATGAACAGTTTTGTCAGCTGAAGTCTATGTTATAAGTAGTTGTGTAAATAATATTTTAGAGAAAACGATGATGGACTGGAGCCCTTCCTCATTGAAGGATTTTACACACTATGAGAGGCGCTACGAAAGCGGCAGGTAGATATCGCTCTGATAGCAAATTTCTAGATGGCATACTAAACTGTTTCTGGGAGAGTTCGAACGTATATACGATAACGGCATACGAAATCCAACGTTTAGTTTTAGGGTAAAAAAATTAAATGGATAAAACCATTTTATTCTGTAGTAACATGTTGCAAGTGTATCAAAATTAGTGATTATTACACAAAACTATACTGCTGTGGGCAAAAAATAGTAAGACTTTTTAATTTTAATTTTTTTTTTAGTTTTAGAAGAACCCGTGCAAAATTTAACATCAAAATAATCATTAGTGTTTAATATAGGCTCGTCTTTCTGAAGTACATAAAGTGCTTTCGGCGATTTTTATGATAAGGGAAATTATTCAACAAAAAAGTTCCATTAAATTTTGTGTGCGGAATCAAATGGCCTTCGGTGATAATTGTTTGTCGCAAACAACTGTTTTTCATTGGTACAAATTATTCAAAGTGGGTTGAGAACGTGTTAACTATGAACCACGTCCAGTGTGACTATCAACATTAACTCATAATTAACACGTAAATAAATGAAGCAAATGGACTTGAGAATCGACTATTAACAGTCAGAGATCTTATTGGCGTCATTGGAGTATCAGAAGCAACAGTTGAAGACCATTTTAAAAGATCATTTGGACCTGAGAAAAGTGAAACCATGATTGGTTCCAAAATCACTCACCTTTTTCAAAAAACAGCGTCGCGTTAACGTTTGTGAAAGAATATTTTCCGGCTATCACGATGCCATGAAATATATTATTACTGGCGATGGGTCTTGGATCTATGCTTACGACCCGGAAAAATACGATCAATTGGCTGAATATCGTGATAAAGGTGAGCCGAAGTTGAAAAAACCACGTCAAAGTAGGGTATATTGATAGTTTTCTTAGATTATCGAGGAATTCGAATTCTTTCTGACCGGCCAAGTTGTCGCAAGGAATACTATTTCAGCTATTCGTAAAAAGAGGCCAAAATTATGGGCCGGCAACTTTTAGTTTTTGCACCACGATAATGCACAGTCGCACAGTGCATTGTTTCTTCGTGAGTTTTTCGCCAAATTTTCAACTAATATCGTGCCACAACTACCGTATTCGTCTGATTTAGCTCTGTGTCTTCTTAGAAAACTGAATCGACCAACTGTTTCGGAGCTTGGAAAAAACGTCGGCACAATCGTATTGGGGCTAAGAGGTTTTACAAGTACTTTGAGGTGTACGACACAGATTTTGAAAATTAAATTAAGAATTTAAAAATTATGAACAAAGTCTTACTATTTTTTGCTCCAAAGAAAAAATAATATACTCACCTGCATTTTAATGCATTTCAGTTCTATTTTAAAAATTTATAAATGACATAAAAATTTCGATTTCAAATAATTTAAAACGAGCGTGTTTTAGTTTTGTAATATTTTTTGTTTTGATGTGAAACAATATTTACTTACTCACATTATTTGTTGTTGTTTATCAAACCATTGAGAAGTTTCAGTTGTATTGAGGTTGTTTATTATCCGCTGGCTTGCATCCGTTGTTTTTTATAGCGTCTTAGTAGTCTCCCTGAATATATGATAATACTCCAATAATAATTCAAGCACTGCTTCTACACCACTCTTGACTTTGCAAACAATAGAAATTGAGCCAACTGAAAATATTAAGTAATTTCTTTTTCTCTCCAACGTCCCCCTTCGGCTGATCTTTGGCAAATTTGTGCCTTGCACAGCGTCAATGTTGTTGCCATTAAACACATATGTAGCTGCACAAATAACTAGCAAATCGATGGACTTGTGACTCTCGTGTATGTGGCCTCGCAACCATATGGGAATACGGAAATGTTGATGATTGCTTCCACATTTTGCTACCAAATTGAGCTAGACCGTATTGTTGACACACGCTGTGCACTGTTGACATTTCCGGTTGGCCACTGCTGTTCGGTTGACTTCTAAACCGACCATAGGCACAGCCACCATACGTGCCACACACACAATGTGCGCCACAATCTCGCTGTTGCACTGTTGGAGTCACTCAAGCCACGTCTCGTCGACGGTTCAACAGTCCAGCGATTGCCAGCAGAGCAATGCGCCAAAACGTGAAACTAAATTGCTGTGCCATGATGTTGATGATCCATTACCGCCAGTTGCCGTTGTCGCTGATGTTGTTGTTTCAGCTGTTGTACCCTCCAAACTGCCCGTTACTGTTTTTTGCTTTTTGCCATTGCCGCTGCACTTCTGCTTAATTGTGTTGCTGCTAATTTGACTAACATTTTTCTCATCTTGCTTGTTGCTCTTGTTGTTGCTGTTGCCGCCATTGATGTCGATGATGTTATTAGTTTTGAGTATAATGGTCGTGGGCCGATTGGTGGGGTAGGGGGACGTTGTTATAATTTATGTTTGCACCGGCACATTATTCTCAGTCTCCTGCAGTACTGGTGCCGTCCACACACCACTGCCGGCACGTTTTCGTGTCTGCACAATGCCATCCATGATGTCCAGTTGTAAATTATGGATGCTGCCTCGATGATCAGTAAGTGGTGGTCCTTGAATAATACTGCCACGTCGGCTGCCACCGCTATGGAAAGAGTGAGCGAAAGAATTACGAATAGTAAATAAAGAAATTGAAATTCACGATAATAGCAATATTTATCGGTCCAAGCTCAATCTTAAAAGTAAAGGTGGAATACTCAAAACTACTTCAGAAGACTGCTTAAGGTTACTCAAAAATCCTACAGAAGACAATATTTGCTACTATTGAATCACCAAAAAAATGGGCTTCGCTTTGAATTAAAAGTCGAGTTTTCGAGAGAAAGATTCTGCGGAAGATTTATGGTTGGCTATATGATGCAGAGGCATAGACGAGACAACATCTAATGTGTTGGCGTTACGAGTGTTGAGAAAAAAGTTCTGTGGAAAATATATGGTTTTTCGCGCATTGACAACGGTGAATAGCGCAGTCGATGGAACGATGAGATGTGTGAGATATATGACGACATTGCCTTAGTTCAGGGAATTAAGAGACAACGCCTGCGCTGGATAGTTCATGTTGTCCAAATTGATGAAATCTTTCCAGCTCTGAAAGTATTCGACGCAGTACCCGCCGGGGAAAGCAGAGGAAGAGGAAGGTCTCCACTCTATTGGAAAGACCAGGTGAAGAAGGGTCTGGGTACACTTGGAATATCCAATTGGCACCAAACAGCAAAAAGGAAGAAAGACTGGCATGCTGTTTTAACTCGGCTATTGGCGGTGTCTAGGCCAATAAAGAAGAAAAGGAAAAATATAAAGATAATTTCTATTGGCAAAGTCCTCGTATTAAATGAGATATGTCATAAGCCTTAGTCATTCTCTAGAAGCTCTATAATCTTCAACTGAGTCCAGAGGTCGCGAATACGGAATAGTTGCTACCGATATAAGTGCCTCAAATATTAAATATTCGTTATACCGCAACAACTAAGAAATTAATTCCCGTATAAGTCAACCGGCGATTAATTGCACTATACTTGTACTCACCCGAGCGGCATGCCTGTTAGCGACTCCCGTCGATTGCGACCGAACAATGTCGGTGGTACGGCAGAAATTGTAACAACCGAATGCCGGCGGCCACCCGCGGCGGGATTTGCTTTCTGCGACAATGTTGCCAGAAACTCCACTTCTTTCGGACTAAGCCCACCATTTTCACCGCCCACCTCCGACAAGCGACGCACCTGACTGGCTGTTATACCCTCGGTGATTTGCAGTGATGGCAAAGAATGTTTGCGTCGCTGTTGCATGTCCGGAAATGGGCATAACAAATACGGATTGACGGGCGAGTCGGGCTCAGAATCGTCGCTTGTGGACTTGCGTGTGGCACCTGTGGTATCAACACCACCAGCTGCGCCTTCCGCCCCCCCACCATCCTCGACGGTATTTGTCTCCTCAACAACAATGAGCGGCTCTTGAGTGCTCAAACTGAAGACGGGCGTAAATGAGGAACGACGCATTGCAGCGTTTGGAATTACAGCGGCAGCAGAGGTGGAGGCGGAAGTGGAGACGGAGACGGACGCTGCCGGGTGCTCAATGGTGCTGATGGTGGAAATGGTGGCGGTGCTAAGGGCAGCAATGATTAAACTGGTTTGCGTACGCGAGCGTATGCGTCGTTTACGGTAGGGCGATGCGTTTGTGGAAAGCTCCTCTGCACAGTTTTGAGAGCTGTCGATTAGTTGGCGTCCTTGTTGTCTAGTTCGCTTTTAACGCTTTTAACTGAAATTAAGTAAATTTGCAATTGATAAGTCATTGTGTTGGAAAATATATATACATATTATAGTATTATGGAATCAAGAAAGACACTAGAATAGACCTCGTAAAAATATATACAAATAAGATAAAATATATAGTATATAAATACACTTCATCTCTTTTTTGCACGCTTAATTGTGACAAAAAATTACGCGGACAAAAAAGAGTTTCCTTTACAACACTTAAATCCTTTTATTTTTCAAAATAGATACTTTTTTTACCTGAGTTAATAAACTCACAGACACTTCAGTACTCAAGCAAAACCAACAAAACAAAACATTTTTTTGCTGTCGAAAATTAATTGCTTCCGTAAAATAGATTACGCCCTTCATTTAAGTGCCATTCCTGCGCTAATTAGTTTACGTAAGCTGTCTTCGTTTTCGTCAGCATTTCCTATTTGCTGCGTCACAGGAACTCGACAAATTGCCATTAATTGTTTGGTACGTCGCTTTTCCGCCTATTCTATCATGGAATGAGAAAAGTATAACAACTTTGTTTAAACGAAATTTTGTTGCATTGCGCAAATATTACTCTCCTTAAGGGAATGGAAAAATACAAAGACAATTTGTAGACAGTTGGAAATAAAAAGAAAATTAAGAAAGCACCAATATTTAAGGTTAATTCTTTTGAAATTTACCTTAGATATCTGATATTTATAGAAGTTAAAGCAGTGAGCTCGTGAGTGCTGTTAATATGCAGTAGATAACTCTACTCTGTAGTGAGTTGAAAACACCTCGAGACTTTATCGTGGACTGGATTTCGCTGGGTTATTGTTATTCATCGCCTGAGCTGATTTCTGCAGGGATTGTACCGTTGCTTTGAACAGTAATCTAAGCCAATTTTCGTGAAGACACTTTGTCAAAACCAAAGGTTGTCCATACAGAGACTTGAGTTTGGTTGGCTAACGTCCGATTTGTTTAAAGACTGACGACAGTTTTACCTCACGCGCTTAAAAGCACAGCGGATCAAATCAATGCGGTGACCAACGCCATGAAATGCGAGGCTTTTTCAGTACCAATTGGCAGTGTGAAATGGACCCACTAACACCTCCCGCACGCAGTTGAAATGCAACTCCACTTTCAACTAAGTGTCAGTTCTTCCTATATTCGGGTTTTAATCGCAACCACCACGATACGTTCCGAGGGGCCAGTTCGCATGAGCTCTAAAGGTTTCTGCTCTTCATGGTACCAGAATTAAGGATCCGGTAAGATCTCCTAAGCGAAGAAGGGGGTTGGACCCCATACGCACACATCATACACACAAAAAGCCAACTCTAATTCTCAGTTCTTCTTCGCCGCTTAAACAATTCACGCGCAAACGATCCTAACTGTTCGCCATTCCGACTAGTGTAGATCACACCGCGTACTGAGAGGAGTTTTGGGGACTCCGAGACAATCGTGGCTGCTTACCGCCATACAGCGGCTCCATAAGTGGCACAGGCCACAAACAAGCCACGCTATATGGTGTGAACAGCATGGTGTTCGAGACGCCAATCACTCCGAAAAATGCGTCGTATTTTGCCAACGGTCACTCCTTCCTATTCGAAAAGGGTCAGAGTAAAGCTTTATGTAATAGTGGCCCAATATGAACAATATGTTTAAGTATTGTGAGGATGCCAAATAATAAGGATCTGTTTTTAACAGATGAATTTGTATAAGAGCTATATATAATATAATAATGGTGTGATCAAAGCAATTTCTGGGATTCTCCCGTTGTCTTAAACAACAACTCGTGACAAATTTCGTAAGGATTTGGTTCGGTCAGTTTGTATGGTAGCTTTATTCTATAGTGGTCCGATATCGGCGACTACAACAAATAAAAAGTTTTTGGTGAGAAAAGGAAAGTCCAAACTTTCAGATAGATATCTCAGATACTGAAGAACCAGCTCGCGTATATACAGCTGAGAGTCAGCACTTCCATTGATTTAGCCATATGTAAGAGTATTTAAACATGGATATAATTTATTGAGTCTCTGGAGTTCCTTTCCATGTTGAGGGTTTGGAAAAACAAGGATATATGCAACATAATTTGAAGCATGTTTGAAGATTGAAAGAAGCTCCCAGTCTAAAACAGTCAGCTCTACGTAAACGGAACGCTTATTTCATCAAGGAAACATTCCTCCAGATTAAGAAAATTCTTAATTTTCATGTAATTGAAGTCAGCTTGCCAATTCGGAAACTTAACTTTAAGCTTTTTTTAATTTAAGAGCCAATATTATTAACCTTCTAGCTACAATTGTTGCTCTTCTAAATTACTAGGCTACTACTTGTCAGTTTTAGTATCAGCACTGACATCTTATTACACGCAAACCAATGTACAAACATGTACCTTACTGTATACTCGTCGTAGGCGCATCTTATCACGTGCCAGCGATTGTCTTCTTTCCGCCTGTCTTCTTGGTAGTTTATTACAACGTTGTGAAAAAGTAGCAGCCATGGTGCTATTCTTTTTATCATTATTTCATTCTCCTGAAAGCTTCACGGTGAGCAGTGAATTGCTGCCAACACTTATTCAACTGACGCGCGAACAAAAGCACTTTCTTCAAGAAACTTGACACTTATTGCAATTTACGAAGTCTCACTTTGTGTATGCATACATCTACATACATATGTGTGTATGTAAATACATTTTTATGCGTGTTTAAATGCAAAGAAACCAATGCAGAGAAAGCAGTTGATTATAGTTTCGGAAAAAATATGTGAACACACACATACAAATGCGCGTAATTTGTGATCCCTTACCTCGTTGCTCACAATATTTAAGGCTTGATATAGTTAATGCAAATATCCGTTGCTAATTGACTAGTTCTATTCCTTTGAAAGTATGTATTTATTTAAATCTATTAATTTTTTTACTGACAATTTTTTTCGTAGACGTCATTTGGTTTTTACAATTAGAATTGATGGGTAGTAATTTCGAAAACTACAGTGAAGTGTTTTAAATTGAAATTGATATTAAATATGAGAAAATTTTGCGAGTATATAAATCGATTCGTATCCTATCACTGTGAATATTTTTCATTGAAATCGGTTTAAGAATATCGCTTTTAAGCTACTACTGCGTTGTTTTGGCGGGTTGTGTTTAGTATCGCGCCGGTTAATTTTGGCTCACCGTACCTAAACGAGAGAACCAAATGGAAAATTTTGTCTTAAACATATTTTATAAAAATCGGTTCACAAATTTTTCCACAAATTCACTTTAAAAAATGCTATTTTTTGCAAATTTCTAAATATATGCTAGTGTATTTTCATCTGCTGTGCATTGTACCAACATTTTCACGCACATATATTACTTATGAATTATAAAAACCACTAATAATGTTTTTAATTACTTTTGATTGTTAATTTTTTTTTAAAAGTTCGATCCTTCCTCTTTCCAATAAGGGGTCGGGAGAGGGGGGGTAGCCCGACCCTGTTTTCCTCCATAAACGATACTTAACCGGCGCGATACTAAACAATAACCATTTTGGCTTCGCTTGTGTGCTGGACCAGAATTTACTGGAAGATTCAATGTTCTCCATCGAGGGGAGAGCTTTTTTAACTGTTACTGCTAATACCCTCTTGTTTCACTTTTACCAAATTTCCTACAGAACCATTACAAAACCATTACAATAACTGGATGGTGACCACGTTGAATCCTTGGAATAACTTTTTTTGTGTATTTGGAAGCTTTTGTGCAGATTTTTTTGTTTTGCTTATTAAAAACCTTTTCAAATGAAAAATATATTCATCAGTAAAACGGATACTTTCGTGGTCTTTAACTGTGTCTTTACTCGATTTGGTGGCACTCAAAACTAATACGGCTATGTAAACCGACGTTGAGTAATACCAAAAGCTCCATCAGAATCGGAAAGCACCCCACCGAGCCGTTCGATACCAAAAGAGGTTCCAGACATGGCGGCTCCCTTTTGTGCGACTTCTTCAATCCTGCAGTATACAGCTGATGGTGTGTTTATATGATATTGATATCACTGCTTTCTTCAGAATGGATAACGAAGCGAAGTAAATGTGTCTGGTAGTGACCGAGAGTAAGACGAAATATCTCCTGTTATCAAACGAACAGCGGTAGCACTCTCTTCTTGGCTCCGACGTCATTGTTGACAGTCGTAGCTTCGAAGACGTGGATGAATTCGTCTATCTTGTAACCAGCATTAACACCAACAACAACGTCAGCCTCGAAATCCAACTTAGAATAACTATTGCCAACACGTGCAATTTCGGACTGAACTAAGACCAAACTCTATGAGTTACTCATTATTCCCGTCCTGCTATATGGTGCAGAGGTATGGACGATGGCAACAACTGATGAGTCGACGTTACGAGTTTTCGAGAGAAAAGTTCTTCGGAAGTTTTACTTGTTCTATGCGCATTGGCAACGGCGAATATCGTCTGAATGAATGAAAACACTACAGTTCTGAGCGTATTCGATGCAGTACCCGCCGTAGGAAGTAGAGGAAGAGGAGGACCTTCATTCCATTGGAAAGACCAGGTGGAGAAAGACCTGGTTACACTTGGAATCTCCAATTGTTGTAAACTCGGCTATAACCATGTAAGCGTTGTCTACGCCAGTAAAGAAGAAGAAGACCAATATGATATCATAAAAATATTCGTCGTAATAAGTATAATAGCATACCACATCAACTTCACTCTAGAACCCCTTTGAAGATAAAACCCTTTTAAATCAAAATTGAATCCTTTGAGTGTGGGTCTTCAAAAACGTAAATGAAAAGTCTACCTTTTTATATTTTCCAGTTTGTTAACTATGCATAAAATGCAAATTAGAATGCCCCTTAGCGTATACTTTAATTCATATCTGCCGCTTAATGGGTGCAACATTATGGACCTTTTCAGTTATCAAGGTGTTACCGACTGCCTGAAAGGGCGCTAATATGGCGACAGAACAAAAAGTACAAAATAAAAAAACGAAAAATTTAATGAAAGGCAAAGTATAATCTGGCACACTAT